GCCAGGGGTTGTGGTGCAGCTCAGTTCCAGTGGGCTCATAGAGCTTGTAGCACAGGTCATAGGAGCCTGTTTTGTTCCAGAAGCTAAAAGTGGAAGGAAAATTAAATTCCTCCAGTGAGAGGCTGAGAAAATGAAGAATGACACACACAAAAATCTTTTGTGTGCAGCTACAAAAATTACCTGCTGCTGCTTATTAATTATCATGGCAAGGATCGGGGAGAAGGCATGAGGTGGAATTTGGGAGCATAAACCAACTATTTCCCTTCCCAGAGATGCTGGGTCGGCTGGAAAGCACTGTCCTGTCCAGTGTGCTCACTGTGGGTTACTTGATGTGGGAAAGAGGGACACAGGAACACCTCTCTTCAAGGTGACACTGCTCTCACCACAGGCTGGTGGGAATCCTTCCCAAGGGATTCTGTATTTTCGAGGGGACACTGGATAAGGAGACCTCATTGAGCTGAGGGTAAATATAGTTGTCTAGGAGGGAGTTAAGGGGCACTATCAGCTTGTTACTGTCCTCCTTAGGTTGTGGGAGGATATTGGGCTAGCTGGAGTCTGGAGCAGTTCATAGGGAGCCCAGTGCAGAAACATCTACCTCCTGGAGCTGGCCTGGAGCAGACTGATGGTTTGAACCCCCGGGGGCAGAAGAGCCTGAACAGCACTGTCCTTTCTACTCTCAGCCATGCCATCCTGCTCAGAGACACCACCACAGGCAGGGTTGTCGCCTCCAGGCTCCCTTAGATGCCAGCACGGCCCGGGGGCAGAGCAGGAGCGCTGCCTCGGGGCGGTCCCCATCCCCTCGCTCATCCCGGTTATCTGCGGGCCGAGGCTGTGCATCCTCGCTGACGTCAGCGCATCAGCCAGGAATCCCCTGCACGAAGCCGCAGTGGCTTCGCCCCCGTTTCCATGGCACGCATCGTTCGGGAGCCCCCAGCGCTCGGATGCAGGCACATCATTTCAGCTGGCTTGCGGCAGCGCCTCTGGGAACCCCCGCCCGGGAAACGGGACCGCGCTCAGCGCAGCCCCAAACCTCCGGAGCCGGTCACGTTCCGGCCGAGATTCCGGAATGAACGGCCCTTGCTGAGTGCGGCGGGATGTTTAACGAGAGGCTGCTCAGCCCCCCTGTGCCCCCCACCTCCCAGAATCGCTCGGCTCTCCAGCCAGCGAGGGGAGAGGCAGCGAGGCGGCGTAATTTGTATTCCAGCTCTGCTGCTGCTCCTGGTGCTTCCAAGAAGCAAGTAAAAATAGCACTCTGTCATTTTGTAAATAACAGCTATCTCCTCACAGGCCCAGGGAGTCATGAGCACTTAAAGAGGGGATTGCAGGAAGGGGGGGTGTGTCTGCCTTGAGCCAGGGCCTGAAAGATGGGGAGTTGGAGGAGGGCACAGGGGAGGGCGAGGGTAGATGGAGTCCCTGAAGCACCTCAGCAGCAGCTGCTACTGCTTTACACCTTCTGCACACCCGGGGAAGCAACAGACCCTGCTGGTGTTGGAGCTGGGGGTCCAGATCTGGCCCCTCCACCCCGGGCTGGGAGGGACCATTGTGGTGTACACGAGCAGCCAGGCCTGGGGTAACAGATTCTTGGAGGAGAGGGGTAGCTTTTAAAGAGCAGGCAGGTGTAGGAAGTGCCATGGTAACACTGTGGGAAGGGATGGTTTGTTTTGCATTTGCATTGCAGATCTGCCCAGCTGTGGGGGATTTCTCCAGGCAAGGCAGCGTGGCCAGGCAGGCAGAGAGCGAGTTCTGTGCCTCGGGGGAGAAGGGGCAGCTTTGGGTGACCTGCAGCACCTTGTTGCTGCTCACACACTTGCTCCAGATGGTTTTAGAAACGTGATTGTGCTGAGGATTGGGAATAAGCTGAGCCAATAAATGGGAAAAGCTCCCAGACCAGGGAACCAGCCTCCAACAAATGGCTTGGGAACGTGGCATGCCACTAGTGTCTCTAAATTCTGCCTGTGTACAAGTGTTGAACCTGAAAATTTCTTGTTCTTCTAGTTTCATGTTGGCTCCAGGGTCTTTTTTTGCTTTCCTGGTCCCCAGCAGGACCTGGGGCACAGTGAGGCTCAGCAGGGTGGCTAGAAGGGGTTTGTGCAGCCCACCAAGAGTAACACTGAACCCTCTTTAGGGCAGTGTTGTGCCATTACTTAGGGCAACCAGGGCTGGTCCGTGCTCTTCTCCAGCTTCCTGCCTGAACCAAGTCTGTCCTTTTTTGTTTATGAACAGGACCAGCAGCATCTTCCTGCCACCCCAGCAGGCTTGAAGGCTTAACTTGTGCATCCAAAGCCCTTTGAATTACAGGGAAGAATGATGCTAGGAAAGGAAAAGTGTAATTTAACATTCTGCAACAGATCTAATGAAAGCACCTAACCCTATGTACAGTCCTTAATTATTAAATCTTTGGTGAGGACTGGGCAAAGCAGCCAAGCAGCAGGGCTTGCTTGTCTGTGGATTGAGGACCAGATAAGGATTTCCCTGCCATGTCTCTAAGAAGAGGCAGGTGATGATCTCTCAGCTTTCTCTTGCTGCAAAAGTAGGCACAGTTTCTTCTCTTCACCCAGGCTGTGGATGGGTAGCTGTGAGGGCAGGGAGAAGGGAGGCTGGGTGAGCAGCTCCTGATTGCTCTGGAGGAGAAGGTCTCGCAGTCACAGAGCCAGTGAGCTCTGGCAGAACTGCAAGCAGTGCAGTTGCTCTTGGGCTACAGGATCATGAAGGAAGTGAGTCTCTGAGGCTGGAACTCGCTCTGTTCTGCTGGTGTTTTACTTATCTCTGGATTTCCCAGCTCTGCTGAAATCCCTACTTGCGTGGCAATGATTTAATTTCAGAAATCCCTCCGGCTCCCAGCCAAATCCTGCCCTTAGGAGCACACATTAACAGGGAAAGTTCAGTCTGGCTTTTGCCATGAAAGGTGCAGGGAGCTTGTTTTCCTGTGTGCTGAGGGACATCAGTAAGCCAGTGGTGAAGCCCCAGCTTGTCCCTGCACCAGGCACTGCACGGCCTGGCCTGAGGAATACATCTGCAGCCTGGAAATGGGAGATCCTCTTCAGCTCTGGGCCATAATTGAGTATTAATATTAATTATTAATTTTAATAAGATAATGCCATTATTTTTGATTGGATTTGCCAGTAGATTGAAGGGAACAGGAAGGGGTCCCTGGAGCTCTGTGGCAGATTGTTTACAGCTTGATAAGGACATAAAGGCTCACGTAAAGATTGCAGGGTCATACCAAAATGCGTCCAAAACTCGTTCTGCCTTTTGTCTTCTCACGACTTACTGAATCCCTTCCTTTGTGCTTGAACCCACCAGAGCACATTGGGAAGCACAGGCCCTTTCATGGACCCCTGTCCCTGAAACATGAACAGGGACACCCTGTTCCCTCTGCACTTCACAGGAGCTGTATCCCCTGGCCATGGGTGGCCGTGGATCCTGATCTGAGATCCGTGGCTGAGAGTCTGTGTTTTCTCTAGAACACAATTAACTTTCCCTCACAGCATGTGGTAGCAGAAGGAGCCTTGCATCACTGTGTATCTCATTTGAGGACTTGTTTGGAGGGAGACAGAGAATGTTTCTGAGTGTTTGCTGCAGAAGTAACTCATTTTGTTTAGACTTCTGGGGTTTCACAAAGTGTGCTGCATACATATTTCTCTTTAACCTTCTTTTTATCACATCAAGAAAAGATCAAGGGTTACTTATATAGCACAATAATACCAGCCATAGGCTGCATCAGAAGCTTTCCAGCCATAATAACAAAAGACATATATATGTATATTTTAGCCATTAAGGAGAAAAGCCTGCCAGAATGCATTATCTTATGTTGGGATGCAAAATTTTGAAGCACAAGACTAAGCTTCATAGTACTGCAAAATAACTGTCAGGGGACAGAAGGATTTCCATAACTTAATTGAGCAATAGGCCATCCAGGCTACTTGCAAAGCTGCTGCAGTGGCCAAAATTGGGTACTGTGCATAAAACATGAACTCTGCTTTGGGGCTTTAAATTGGTTCTTTCATTAGGAGAGCAGCTCTGAGCCAGCTAATGCCATACAATAGCATGATGTATCCCTAAAGTGGTGAGGATTTATGGTAACTGAGTGCTCAACTCAAGGCACCTCATCCATCATTTTTTCAGCACGACCCAGTGGGCAGAGCACAGGGCTGTAAATCTGGCAAATCACTGTGCCTTGATTTCCCTGCAAAACGGGACAGCAGCAGAGATGTCAATCAGGAAACATGCCAAAATCAACTGAAGCCAGGAAGGAGAGCTGTGTGTGCTGCTCAGCACGTGCTGACGGCCGCCTTCTGCGGAGCGCTCCGGATCATCTCCGTCTGAAGGCATGGGATGGAAATGGCCCCTGGGTTTTAGCAGCTGGGGCAGGATCTGGGGCTCAGTGTCTTTTTTGGGGCAGTGAGGCTGTTGTTCAGCATCCACGAGGGCAGCACAGCCTGGGGGCAGGGGAGCATGTGATGTGGGCGAGCAGCAGCTTCGCAAGAATGAGGCACTTAGGAGAACAGCAAGCACGGCGGCAGCAAAAGGCAATCAGAATATTGATTCTCTTTACATACAGATAAGCCTGAAGCTGTAACAAACCCAGGCTTTCCTGAGACTGGTGGAACATTGCTAGGCTGTTTATCAGGCTGGGAGACACAAAGGGATTTCACATTAAAAGGAGTTTCAAAGCACCTCTGTATTGAAAACGTGTGGATCTGCACCACATTATGGATCGTGCAGCCACATGGATTCTGTAAATACGCAGTGTCTGGCCACGTGGGACATATTCATCCTCAGTGTAAGTGTGGGAAGCAGCAGAGCTGTGCTGGAGATGAATTTGCCCAGTTAGGAGTGATAAAATCAGCCGTTGCTTGGGGCACAGAGGATGGTGCAGAGGGTTCAGCAGAGCAGGAAAAAACACCACGTAACAACCCCCAAATCCTTCCCTGTACAAGAAAATTCAGTTCTTTAATTGCTTTTTTTCCCTTCTCTCTTTTTTTTTTTTTTTGTCCCAGACAGTGTAACCGAAGTCAAGACAGACATTTACGTGACAAGTTTCGGCCCTGTCTCGGACACAGACATGGTAGGTGCCTCACGGGGAGGGATGGCTTCTCCTGCAGCCACTGCGGGTGTGTCCCACCCTCGTCCCAGGAATATCTGGACAAAAGCAGGATTTTCCTAAATGGCAAAGCTGGTGGTAGCTCAGTGTGAGTGGTAGAGAGGGGCTGTTTCTCAGGCTTTTGGAAACCAATTGATAATACACCCTTGGAGAGTCAATACCTTTGCACTTCTCAGACACACTGCAAGCTTTAGGGTCTTTTTATTTCCTGCAAGTCCAACCTAATTAAGTGGGGTCTGCCCATGGGACCTGGACATGAACATAGCACGCTCCCCCCGTTACCTGCCTTGACAAGCACCTTTGCTGCAGACACCTTTCCCTGACCTGTCTGTGTGTGGAGGAAGGAAGGTGCTCCCTGGGAAGAGGAGAGGATGCCAGAATCTGGTCTGGTTTGATGGCAATGCCAGAAGAGAATGATTCACCATCAAACTGTCCTCAGCGCTCGAACCGAAAAGGAGGCAAAAGAGGAAAAAAAGAAAAAGCATGAACTGATTGCAGTATTTTGACATGTTCAGGGGAAATTATTAATGAAAAGGCCTGAGGTCTGAATTAAGGCTTGTATTCCCACAACAGTTTGTCTTCTAATTAAAACAGGACTGTGGAGCATAATTAATAGTGAGGTTTCTCAACAGCGTTCCTCGCAGCTCGTGTTCCACAGGCGCCCAGGCGCGCGGAGAAGAGTTGGCTCAGGATGGTTGCTCCACAGTTCAAGGATGCCACGTGAGGACAGCCCTGCATTCAGGACTGAGAGCCTCCTGCACATCCAGCACCGGAGGTGGCCTGGTGCTGACACAGCCCTGGCCAGCAGTGGGCTGTCCTGGCCGTGGAGGAGGAGCAGGCTTTGCTCTCACCAGCCAGGCCAGGCTGGAGCAGTATCCTGTGACTCTCATGGAACCTCTGGAGCTGGAAGGGTTTAATTTTCTGTGCTGACACGGCCTGAACTTCTCTTCAGCTGTCCCACGGACAACCCTGTGCTAGCAGGCAGAGGAGCTGGGGAAGAATAAAACCTCTGTGTTTCATGGAAGTGCTCGTTCAATCCCGCAAACCCCTGTTGCTTTGAGAAGACCACTCCCTCCAGGGTAAGAAGTTAACTTGATGTCAGCCTAGTTGAGACTATTAACCTCATTTGAGTTCTCCCTCCCTCTCTCCCTGCTCTCCTACCGCAGCAGAGACCCATAATATATTCAGCAATCGTAGCCCGTGGGGAGTATCTGATAATTACTTCCAAGGTGGAGCATATTTGATTAAGGGAGTGTGTATAATGAACTGTGAAGAAGAAATATGAGGTATTGAAAAGAGGAAGGTATTCTCCGCGATGTGATTTGACAAAATGAATTTAAAATTAGGAAGACAGTTAAGGAATAATAAATTATTTCCCCTTCCCGTGCTTTCGTTCCGTGTATTTTCCAAACGCACAGCGAACGTGCTTCAGCCCGCTGTTCTGCTGCTGAATGCACCCAGAAACGTGAGGGAGAGAAACATGGGGAGAGCCTGCTCTTCTGCTGTGGTTCCTTTTATCTCGGGAGCGGGGAAGTCCCTCCTTCCCCGCTGGATCTGCCCGGTGATGCGCTCCCATCCCTCCCACAGCCATTACTCACCGCCTGCAGAGCGGCTCCGGCGCGTCCCGCTGCAGACAGAGACTGTAATTATGATGATGGAGGAGAGGCAGGTAAAGCTGCTGTGCAGAGGGGAGGAGAGCAGCTGGTTACAGAGCCTGGAGGAGGACGTGTGGACCTTTTCACTGAGCTGCTCCGAGGGACTTCTCATCTCAGCTTTTAGTTCGGTTTGGAAAGCAGAGCCTGACAGGACCTGACACGCGCCTGGATCTTCGGCACTGAGCTCCTGCAGCTTTGCCTCGGTCCCCGGGAAATTATAGAAAGAAAAGAAAAAAAGAGTTCAAGGGAGATTTTTGTTTCATGGATGGACTCTGAAGGCAGACTCACTCTTGATGTTTTCAGCTGTTTCTATAAGTAGGAGAAAAGCATAACATAGAACTAAGTGTGCTCTTTGGAAGGGGTGACTTGGGAATGATGCTTTTAAGGAAAGAAGTATAGAAAAGAGGGGAAGATTCTCAAAATTATTTCTCTTTTCTTCAGGAATGATTCCTTAGCATAGAAGAAGAAAAACAAGGCCTGGAAAGTTGATAAAAATGTTTTGCCTCTTTGTTTGCTGTTTTTTAACAGGAACAGGGGTTTTGAATAGGAGAGATCTTCTCCTGATAAGGACTTTTCCCAAACCTCCCAGGACACAGGCTCTTTTCTTTGGTTTTATCCATTTACTGAGCTTAAAACCACAAAGATCACTTCCATGAAGGGCCCGAATATCTAGTACATGGCAGAGCCTGTAGGAATGTAGAATCTTCTCTCCCTTTTCTCCAGCCAGGCTCCAGAAGGTTCATATTTGAACAGGGGTGGCTCCATGGCCGGGGAGCAGGGATGAACTTGTTTACTGAGATGCTTTCATTCAGCTGCCATCTGCCACAAAAACCTGTAGGAATTTCTCTGTCCTATAGGAAGCTGATGCACAGCAGTTTTTAAATGCTGCTGAGAAGTGCTGCAGGAAAGAAATCACTCACAATGATAAGTTTAGTTGGTCCTGCGGCCTCCAGGAACACGTAAATAAAGACTATGAGTCTGCAACAGCAGGGGAAGAAGAGTTGGGACTGTTCTTCTTTCTGAAGCCCCCTTCTCTCTCTGAAAGCCTCGTGGCTCTGAAAGCCCTCGTCAGCCAGAGGTGTGTGCTGTAGAGGTGAGCAGTGGTGCAGCCCATGCTGGTGGGCTGAAGACATGAACCTCAAGTGACATGAACCCTCAAAGGACACGGGGACCACTGGGTGCACTGATTTGATTTTGCTTTGGGGTGGCCATGGAGCCACAGTGACCTTGCTGCTTTGATCGAGTGGTTTCTGAGGCTGCAGGCACCGAGCAAGAAGCTGCAGTACTCCAAAGAGATGACTTCTAATTGCCCCAGCTGGAATTTGGCCTAGGAAATGGGTTTCTACACTAACTGAAAAAAATAAAAAAAAAGGGGAGGGAGGAAAAAATACAAAAAAGAAGACAAAAGAAAGTCATAGGATCTAGTAATGCAAGTTTGTGAAGTCCTTGATTCAATGCTTTTCTAGAGGTGGCCTGGGGAACAAAATAACATTGTCAGTGTCATGGAAGTCGATTTCATTATATTTTTTTATGAGCAGGGATACAATTGCCAACATCCTGGCCAAATCCCATCTGCAGGATCTTTAGTTTTGCTTTTTAAAACGCCCATGTAGCTGCACACAATGCACTCCCTCCCCTGAAGCATCTGGGTAAAGGTGATGGTGCAGGAGGGCTACCCCAGAACTGGCTGCTGTGATCTGTGTTGCAGCTTGTCTGCAGTGGTCAGAAACATTGGAATGCACATTTTGACGTCATAGGTGAGTCATTATACAAAATGTGGTAAATGCCATGTATCCTCCACTGCAGTTAATTCCTGCTTCTTGTCGCACCACACTTCACATCACCCAAGGTGTGCCAAAACGCAGTCTGCTCCCTGACTGAAGATACTTCCTGAATCCCCTTGTTTGCAATGAAGAGCTGAGCTGACTCGCTTTTCTCTCCTCTCCCCACAAAGGAATACACCATTGATGTCTTTTTCCGGCAGTCCTGGAGAGATGAAAGGCTGAAGTTTGATGGTCCCATGAAAATACTTCCCCTGAACAACCTGCTGGCCAGTAAGATCTGGACTCCTGACACCTTCTTCCACAACGGGAAGAAATCTGTTGCCCACAACATGACAACACCCAACAAGCTGCTGCGCCTGGTGGACAACGGCACCCTCCTGTACACCATGAGGTAGGTTTGTGTCTCCTGGCCAGGGTATTCCAGGTCCCTGCACACATGCAGGCCAGAATGGGACCTCAGGGTGCATGACAGCAGGATTTATGCAGACTTTCACTAACTCTGTTATCCCACTTGAGCCTTACACTGCTGCTTTCTCTGCTACCCTTGTTTCCTACCTATGTACCATCTCTGATCCTCAGCTTCTGCACATTTTTACAGGTAGCTTTTTCCTCATCATTCATGTTGATATTTTTTTCTTTTATGTGATGAGGTAGAAGTGTTGGGATCTATAATTTGTGAGGTTGATGCTCTAGCTGATATAATTTTGTTCCTGACCTGTGATGGGTTATGAATCAGGTATCCAGTGCTGCTAGGGAACAATAGCATGGGAGGATTTATTATTCTCCAGCAGCTTAAGAACAGACCTAAATTTGTTCAGCATGTTACAGCAGAGCCATTTCAAACATCTAATGAGACTGAGCTTGCTTGTGAGAACGATGGGGTTGTTTTTTTTTTCCTTCTTTGTGGAATCAGAAGTCTGGATCTGGGTGATCAATGCACATCATTAGGAAAAAAACCCCAAACAACAGCTTCTTAAAAACTGTGCTTTGGAGAAGCCGGGTTCTAGGGGCCATCTGAAGTTCCAGGTTTAACCCAGCCTATGCTACCCCCTCCTGGGATGTCAGGGAGAGCCCTGAACAAGAGGCAGCACCTCTTGGGTTGCCCAGCACCAGCCTGGGCAACCTCCCTGTGAGCTCCAGCAACTGGGACCTTCCTCTGAAAGCACCAGTTGCTGTTGGGAAGCTGTGCCTGAGCAGTCCTGTCTGGGTATCTCAAGAGCAGCCCTGGTACATAACATTTTTCATTAAGCTACAACAGTTTGAGAGCAGGAAGAGAAATGCCTTTGGGTTAATGGTATGTTCATTCCAGAACTATTCAGATATTTCTGTACACTTGTAAGCTGTTCACCCACGTCAATAATGTTTGCCCCCCGAGGTTGATGTACTAATTTGCCTTCTGAGGTAAACGGGCTCATAAATGAAACAACAAGTTACTCATAGATGCACACGAAAGGTATTGAGTTGATTTTGGAAAGGTGTAAATCTTTGTTTAAAAAATTTGTTCGCTCTGTCTCCATCTTCAAGCCAATGCTAACTTGTAACAGGCTTCATTGTGGATTCTGTGTGCTGAGATGATGCACTTTCACCTCTGTTTTTGAGGACCAGGCAGAATTTCATCTCTTCATAGTCGAACTGGCTGTGAATCTACGTGGTGTCAGCAAATTTTACAGCCTGCATTGATAAACAATGCTCTGCTTTTGTGCAGCAGTTCTCTAATATGAGCTAATCCTGCCAGTGCCCTGGGGGTTTAGGTCTCCACACATCAGTGATCTCACATTAAGGCAGATGGGGTAAATGAAGGGAGAAGCCCAACTTGACTCAAGGGCTCGATTCTGCTCCCAGCTCTCTGACCTGCATGTAGACAACTTAACACTCCCCCTGTTCGTATCATTGTCTGACTGTGAAGTATTATAGGAGCTGCTGGCATAAATAGCAAAAAAAAAAAAAAAAAAGGACTCAACTTCAGAGCTTTTATATCATTTCACTTCTTCTTTATTCAGCAAACAGCCATTAGCTGCAGCAAGCTTTGTGTGACTAAGAAAGTGTTGGATTTATGTTTCCGTTTAGGGCTGGGCAGGTGCCAGGATGGCAGCATCATGAGACTCTTGGGAATGAGCTTCTGGAAGAAAACAGAGCCATGGGGTTTTTTTAAATAAAATCGAAACATCCTTCATTTTAACTGTATCCTGAAGAACTGGGGGATGAAGGACCTCCTTTTGGGTATGCTCCTGCCCACCTTAGATATACTTTTAAGGCTTTGTAAGAGGTGAAGAGCCCACTCAGAGATACTCAGAAAGGAAGATGCAAGGGCACAGACTGCATGGGCCAGGACCATGCCTCGGGCTCAGAGACCAAATCCTGCCTGGCTTTGCCACTCCTAGGCACTCACACCTTGATTCCTCTGTAAAATCATGACAAGGGTATCACCTTCCCTTTTTAAGTGCTTTGAAACCTCCTTCCAGGCCAGGGTTGGAGGGAGGCTCGTGTTTTATGCCCAAGTGTCACATTTGCTGTCCTCCCCCATACCCAGGGGCAGGCATATGTGTCCCTCTCAAAGGAAAGAGCAGGACCACAAAGCCAATCTCAGCCTCACACAGCTGTCATCCAGCATGGATGGGCAAATCCCAGAGAGGTACAGTCTGTCCTGATGACTATGGAGCAAGTCTGGACTTTCACCAGGTTTCCACTGGCCTGGCAGGACTGCCCAGGTGTTCCCTTGCAGGCTCAGTCTAGACTGGTACCTTGCCATGCAGTTTGACTCCTGAGAACATCCTGCTCCTTTACCTTGTACCTGCCAATATCCTTGAGGCATCAGTTCTGCTGATGTGCAATTAGAGGCATGTCTCCTGCCATTTATCCTGCTGTGAAAGCCAACTTCTCTTAGTCAAGGCTTGCAGTTATAGATGAAGTTGCTCTGGTGGAACAGCAACTCTGTCACACACATCCAGCAAAATTACACCTGTGTGACAATATTTATAGCTCCTGGAGAGAGCCTCTTTATCACTGACCTGAGCTTCAAGGAGTCACACAGCAGCTGTAGCCGAGCTCCCAGAGATCTCCTTTAGTCATGGCACAGTCTCCTCAGGGATTGGTGCAACATCACATCTGACCACGGGCAGGCCTTGGCACCTGGGTGACAGTGTGGCCTGTGTGACCACAGCACAGAACTGCATTTCTCTATTCCCCAGGGTTACTGATCCCTCTGCACCTTCCCTGCCACTCCAGCTGCCTTAGAGGGCACGGGGAACACAGTTTTATTATGTAGCTCTTTTTTGTGGAGCTCCTACAAGATCCAAGTAGTTCACAAAAGCTGGGGTCTCAAAGCTCTGGTGTCAGACCTGAGCACAACAAACTGGGAATTGTGCATGGATTTACATAAGGTAGAGACAAAAGCTGAGCTGCTGCAGCAGTCTCTGGATGTACTCTCTGGTTCGAACTGCGTGGGGCACGTAGATAATGTTCTGGTTTTTCCTGGCCTTGAAGCATACGAAAATAGTGAAAGTTTAATGCTGGGCTGATGGGATTCAGCTTTGTGAATCCGGGCTTTAAAAAAAGCTCTCCTGCTCTTAACAAGGACCGTCAGAATGGCATGTTGAGGCTTTGTGGTTATTGTCAGAGTGGTTCCCAGACAATACGTGCTCAAGTTAGGCACTTAGAGGATGTTTTCTTTACCTGTCAGGCTGACATTCAGCTGCATGTCCAAAGACTTTGCCTTGAGAGCCTGTGTTGCTGAAGAAAACAGAAGTCCTTGGTGGCAGTGCATGAGCACTGAGGAAGGAGGGTTGGGGAACCCTGGGGTGAGTCAGAGGCAGAACAGGAGGGAAAGAACATCTGCAGACATACAGGGGCTGTTGAACCCCACGTAACAAGTCCTCTGCCCATTATAATATGTTCAGGGGGTTGAGCTGCCCATGCTGCTTCTTGAAGGCACAGAGCTTTCCAGGGTCTCCTTCAGCAAAGGCTTTGGGGTGGCTTTACTGCCTGGTTTTTTTTAACGCCCAGACAACCTGTGATTGCCCCAGGCTGGAGGTGGGACACCCTTCCACACAATGGAGGTGCAGCCTCCCTGCAAGAGCAGCAGCTGGAACATCCCAGCACTGTTCTGAGTAGTCTGGACTGGCAGCTATGTGGCTGTGTCCCACATCAGGGCCGATCCCAGACAACAGCACAGACAGATCCAAGCAGACCAGAGGTAGACTGACTGATAAACACACAAGCAGGCAGATAGACTAGATGAGATTTGCTCTTGCTTTTCCCTGCCTTACAGTTTCCAGAGCGGATCCACAGACAGAAATGATCTGTTTTCCAGGCTTGGCTTTGTGCAGGCAGACTTTTATAAGGAAGCTGTCCCAGGAGGGAGAAATCTTCAGAGAACACCTTATCTCACTGCATTTCTGCCATCATGAGCTGAAATCTCCAAGGGCCGGGGGAGGATGCAAAGTGAATTCAGTGCTTTCAGATCCAGCACGCGGATCCTAGAAGCAATTTGGCTTTCAAGCTCAAATCCTGGCAATTAAACCTAACCTAGATTCTCACACAGCCTAAACTGTAAACACTCTTCGGCCTGACTGTGGTTATTAATGAATCTCCTGGAGAAGAAATCAGGACAAAACCCAAGCAGCATCCCTGGCATAAACAAAGTCGGTTCCGCTGTGCAGGGCGCTGTCATGTTTTTCTACCACTCATACACCAAGGGATTATTACATTTGCGTCCCAGAAATTGGACTGAGGTTCTGGCTCATCCTGCAGCACGACGCAGGTAACGACAGGGGCTCTAATGACACATCAAAGGCTTCGCTAAGCTCCCGGTAACCATGAGAACGAAGCTGAAGTGGTTTGTTATCCCGTCAGCCCTGGGAGAGGTGTGTTTAGCCTGATTCACACTCCTTGCCATTGTGCTGCGCAGTTCAAAGGACTTCCCGTTTCTTTAAAGAGAAAAACATGGTTTCTGTCCTGGATGTTCCACTTTTGGTGCCAATTGTGCCAGCAAAGTGAAGAGAAAACACGAGGAGTTTGGGGTTTTACTTCAAGTTAGTTCTGCCTGAGTTGTTGCTGGTTCCTAGGACAGATGAGCCAAAGGATACACTGGCTGGATGATGTGATTGCTGGCAGCCTGGCTATTTTTTACACGCTGTTTAGGCTTTCTAAGGACATTTCAGAGCTCAGATGTCTGGACCTGAATGGGCCATCAGAGCACTGAAGCAAAACCCAGTGGCTATCTGGCCATAAGCTCCCTTGCACCGGGTAAGGGGCACAGATGAGAATTTCTGCAATAAGCTCTTTTACCTAAATGCTGCAGAAGCAGAGGTAATTGTCTGGGAAGTGAGATCCATTCCTTGCCGTTTGACATTTTGATGTTTCATTAAGCAAAGCATATGGTGCTGAGAAGTCCTTCCCCAGCGACAGGAGGTGGGGGGGAGCAGAAGGGGATTGTGGGCACTCTCCACAGCTCACCTAAACACCTCTGCTAATCAAGGCTCTGAAAGATGAGTGTGTGTGCAGCAAAGAGAGGCTGCAGGAGCAGAGTGGAAGGTGGCCAAGGGATGGGGTGGGCAGGAAGGTGCAGCAGCACACCTGCTCTGGTCATAGGGGGAACATCCCAGGAGTCAGCACACCCCCCACACGTGGGGATAAAGCAAAGGGGGAACACCTGGGAAGGGGGAATGCCTGTGTTGCTTCCCCCCTCAGCAGGGAGGCTGACTCCCTTTGTGTGTCGTCTGTGAACGTGCTGACTTCTGGCTGGCTGAAGTTGCTGAATCAGACTCGTCTCGCTGGAGTGATGTGATTTTTTTTCTTTTTTTTATTTAATTTCAGGAGATTTTAAAACTCCTTCAGTTGTAGGTGGAGAAGTAGCAGATTAGGTTGTTTTTTCGGTGGTTTGTTGGTGGATTTATTGTTTCCTTGTTTACTAGCTCAGCTAATAATACAGGGTTTAGATTTAAAATGCAACTGGTGCGTTCCCACAAACATACGGAGTCATCCAGCATCCATATAAAGTTGTCTTCTTCCCTTGACAAAACATGTTCTCTTTGGCCATGACCTGGAGAGGGCAGGAGGGTATGACCAAGGCCAGCTTGTTCTGCAGTCCATTCAGCCTTATTCATAGTGGCTGTTGGTTACAGCCAAGACTTGCAAACAGTACAGTGGATGGAAGAGACTTTTCTGGTTGTTTAGGGTGAGTTCAGGATCAATCAGAGGGGAAACACCGATCAAAGGAGAGGTCCTTTGAATAAGCCAACATTGGAAACTCCCAGCAAAGAGCATTTTGACATAATAAAGAAATTAATGATGTCAGTGCGAAAAAATAGGAAGGTAAAAAGGAAGTGTCTTATGTGGACTGCTGAGGAAGAAAGGGAAAATCCATCCATATTTCCTTGACACAAGTGGCAGTGACAAAATAAGCAAAAAGTTCATTGCAGTTGGAAAGGACACAGAAAGAATTGAATAATAAGCTCTGTGAGGATATGCTTGACAAGCTCACCAACCATGAGCTCCCCCTGTGAGTTTTGAGCTGGCTGAAGAGAACATCACAAAAGATACAGAACAGGAGCAGCAAGGCTGTTGAGTCCCCACCTTGCTGCCAGGTTTTCATACCTGCTTCTTGAAATTCTTATCTTCATCCAGATTGCAAAAGAGAGGCATCAGAGAAAACGAGCAATTTGTTCGTGGTGGCCTTCGGGTGTCCAGGAGAAAATCATTGCAACAATGTGTTTGTAGGGTTGTCAAAATCGCTGCCAGTCTTTCCCTCCACTTCACTGAGTCTTGGTAGAAGCCTAAAGATCAGGTCTTCCTCTCTTTCATGTAAAACAAATGCATTCCATCCAGTGATGAGGGAGAGATCATCAAGTCAGAGAGAGTGATTTGTTTCCAAGAAATTAGATTGGCCACGCAGTGGTTCTTGGCTTGGCTGAGAAAGCCACGCTGGAGCCAGACATAATGCAAGCAGGACAGTCATCATCACCTCTTTGTTAGATCATTACAGGACCCAGTGGTCACTGTCTGTGACATCCCCTGCCTCCCCCCAGCCACACCCATCCTGCTTTGTTTCCCCCACAGGGGTTTTTAGAACAATTTGTCAAGGGTTTGGTTTTGTCCACCGGATTTTATTGTGACAAGTTTTAAAAAACAGTCCTCTTTTGTAGAACCGTTTAAGGTTCGTCCACCTGAAAGAAATAACCTTTATTTTTATTTTTTTTTTTATTCTTTGCTTTTAGCAAATAAAATCCAAAGCCTCTATTTTTTCAGGGTTTATTTAGCATTTGCCTAAGCCTCAGTATTTTCTGTGAAGAATAACTTAGCTGAACATTTTTCTGGTGAAGGAAAATATCTCAATAGAAGCTTCTTGACCTGAGTTTTCCTCTAACCACCATCAGCCTTAGGTCTGTGCACTTGCCCTTTGCATCCACCTGTTACTGCTGTCATGGTTTGTTTCCCGTTTTGCTGAGCCATCAGAAGTGAGTCCTTTCTTCTACAAATGGTTCCATCAGAGGAGATTGTATTAGACATCTCCTGGGAAGCTGTTTGTTCTCTCTCCCCCTCCTCAGCTGCACACTTTGCAGTACTTCAGGAAGGAACACGAGCTCAGAACTAGGGTTTTTTTAGAGCCTTTTATAAGGAATCCTTTTATGCCTGGCCCCATATTCTGCAGCACACTGCTTTTATGGCTGTGCCTCCCTCACAGAACTGCTTCCTGACAAGGTATCCCACGGGGGTTTGGTGCATGTGTGAAGCTCACAGGTTGTCCTGCTCAGCCCCAAGCAGCTCCAGGACATGCAGTTCTGCATCTACCTGCAGTGCCACCAGCGAGGGAGGAGCCAGGGAAGGTGGGATGAGTTGCCCCACATGGAAAGGAATGTGTTTACCCTGGTGAGTTCATGGGTCTGACTGACTTTGTTCAGCCCAGCAGTGCTGTGGCTCTCTGACTGAACAGTCTGCCAGCCCTCAGCTCTTTCCATGCTGCTGTGAAGAACAGGCCTGTTCCATGGAAGCCCTTTCCCTCTGCTTTCCAGCACGGTCCATGAGATGTCCCCTGGCTCCAGGCATTAAGGAGCTCTGTTCACAGTGCATAAGCAAACAGAAGTCCTGGGCTTTGGCAGGTTTTCCAGTTGCACTGAGCGGGTGAAGATGAACTCGGTCAACAGGGTTGAGTTTGTGCAATGGAAAAGGTTTCCAGATCCACGTGCCTGCTGTTCTCTCCCCAGCTTTCTGCCCAGAGACCCAGAGGCTGGTGAGCACGTGAGCTGCTGCTGCTGGATGCAGGAAGGGCCGTGGCAGAAGGGCCAGGGGTGTCTCTGACCGTGCCCTGTGCTTTGTGTTGCAGGCTCACGATCCACGCCGAGTGCCCCATGCACCTCGAGGACTTCCCCATGGACGTGCACGCCTGCCCGCTGAAATTTGGGAGCTGTAAGTACCCTGATAAACCTTCTGCAAGGAGGTGGTTACAGAGCTAAAGAGAAGTCCTTTGTGTGGTTAGTGTTACCCAGTATTCTAGTGACAGTGTTATTAATGATTGATAATGATAATTATCATTAATTAATGACCAAAAATGTTTTCTTGACGTCTCATGGCAGTGATGGGCTGATGGTTCTACTCAGTGATCTTTGCCAACCTTACTGGTTCTATGATTCTAAAACTGAGATATGTTTTTCCTTCATCACAAGATGATCCTGGGGAGACAGATTTGGGAAGATAGCAGTGGTGCCTGCTGCTGGATGTCCTGTCCAGCTTCCCTACATCCCTCCTGCCAGTCTGGGGAGACCCTGAAATACTTGGTTACTCTGGCTCCAGTGGAGCTTACAAACCTCTTCAGTCTGTCAGGCAAGTGGCTCTCAAGTAAAAGGCTTGGAAACTCTGGAAAGCTCAGTCCCAACAGCCAAGGGTTCTGGTTTAGGGAAGATTTGCTGGTGAGTGGAAAGCTGCTCCCAGCCTCCCAGGCTTGCAGCTGCTCAGCTGCTTGGGCTTCCCATACCCTGCCCAGGAACAAGTTTCTTCTTGTCTCCATACATGAGTTAAATTTTATTTGGTTTTGTTCCTAAAAGTGAGTGGGAGCCAAACCCCAAGCCACTGGTTCACCATAATGTCAAAATAAATTTCCTAGTCTGACTGTGCCTGGATTCTTCTCCAGGTCCAACAAACTGAGCACCACTCTCAGTCCGTGTTTGCATTAGATGAAAAGAGTTACCCACCTCCAACTACAGACTGACCCCACGCCAGTAACCTCCAGAAAAATCCCAACTTTCTTAAACTGATACTTCCTTCCTGTAGCCATTTGGGAGCTAACTAAGGACAAAGTTGAAAGGTTTGATTGACAGCAGAAGAAATCGTGTTTATCATGTGCATCTGCTCCTCTGCCTCATGACAAACTGTACCCATGAAACTGGATTATTCAAAACTACTAAAATAAAGCTATTTTGTAGGCAGCACCTAATTAAATGTAGAACTCGTTGCCACAAGACATCACTAAGGCCAGTAAAACAGCAAGCCTTAGAGAAGGATGAATTATTAATGTTAATTGACCTTGTGAGGAGGGATATAAAACCTCATACCTCAGGCCTAAACTCTGGGATTATTACAAGACTTGCAGGAAGGCAGATTACTCCACATCTAATTGCTTATAACGTTTCTTGGTGAGGAAAAGAGATTAATGTGTATATTTCTGCTGGAACACCCTTTGGGTTTTTGTTTTTTTTTTACTGATTTGGCCTCTGAATGATGAGAGTCTTGAGACAAGCAGCTCAGAAAGCTGCCCCTGGTTAACATTAATGTGGCTCTTTCTAAAGCACCATCTGCACGGCATCAGAGCTCACCTCTCCTGTGTTGGAGAAGGATTAAACCAGTGTTTTCACTAAAAAGCCATCAACAGCTGGAAGCTGGAAGCTTCGTTTTCGAGAAGCCTAAAGTGGGTTAGGTTTGTAAGTGGAAGGACAGTGCTGGTAGCAGACACATGTTATTCAAGGGGCAGCTGAATTTGCCTCACAGGCCACTTCCCACAGATCCCCAGAACCTGAACGGCTCATAAGAGGCCTTCTGTCCCTGTGCCACCACGGCAGCCCCCCAGGGAGGGAAGGCAGAGCATTTGCAGAAGAATTGAGGGCATCAGGCCTTCCAGAGAGCTTCAGCTGCCCACCTGCATCATTCCTGGGGCCAAGAGCAGTGAAGGTGATGACCACCATGCTCCCGAGAAGATGAACGTACACTACAGAGAACTGTTCCTAAGCCATCACAGGGCATTTGTGCAGCAGCTGTCTGAGACCAGGGTAGCAGAAGATGTTGCTGAAGTCACCAGCTCCACTAAATGCCCAAGAGCTGTCCTTGTTTGGGCTGGATTGGACAGCATTGCAAACAAGGCGTCGACAGAACCAAAACTGATACGTGGCATTAAAGATGTTCCTCACATCCATGCCACACCTACGTGACACTGGATACCCTTTTGTCTCACACAGCCAGATGTGCAGACAACTGAATTTTCTAGATAAAAATTCAGGAATTTTTATAGACGTTCCTGAATTTTTAGGGACGATGGCAATGAAGCTCTGAGTGGGTTCCCTTTGCAGGCTGGGAGTGGCACTAAGTGAGCTGTGGCTCCTGGAGCAGGAGGTGTTGCCTATCAGGTGAAAGAGCAGTGGCAGAGCTGTACAAGCTCTGAAGGAGGATGGAGCTCTCCAGGAGCATATTGAGAGCTGGAAGGAAGGCTTGGAAAAGCAGAATGTTGCACGTGGAATGAGAGGTGCCAGCCTGCATCATCAGAAGTGCTTGGGCAGCACACTGGCATGCTGAGAAACATTGGCTGATCATCAAAGCCACTCACCCCACTTTGCACAGCTCCTGGTTAATATTTGACAGGTTTGCCAGCACCTACAGTGCAGGGGTAACAGTGGTTGTTTTAAAAAGATCAGAGAAATCTGGTTTTCTCAGGACACAGTCTTCCACAAAGCAGAAGCTGAGACATTTCTGTAGCAGACCTGGCCCATTGCTCGACTTGTCTGCAGTCAAAGAATTCCTTAACGTCTTAATAAGAGGAGCTGGTGGTAAAAATTAGTTCAAAACCTGGTTTAGTGAACTATGTTCTTGCTTAAAAAACTGGTGCAGAGTTGCAGGAACTTCCTGCACAGGAATTTTAGGCATTATGGGGAGAAGTAGCTCCTGGAGAGACTCAGTTTCTGGATAACCATAGGACTGGCAAAGCCAAAAGCATGTGGGCACTGTTGAGAGAGGGATTGGCTATGGGAACAGAGCAGGAGTTTGGTCACAAACACAGGGTCAGGCAGGGAAAAAGCATTTTGGTGGGAGAGCACACCAGCTCCAAAGCTGAGAGAGACTTGCTTCTGAGTCAGGGTAGAGATTTTTAACTTTTTCTCCTCAACCTAAAATTTAACCCCATTTGCGTTTAGCCTTTCTTGCCAGCTGCTGCCAGCATGACATTCCCTGTCCCTGGCATGGCAGGGCTGTGGCTGTCCTGCTGCCCCAGTCTGCTGGCCTGGATGCCTTCCTATCTCATCCTGCTTGGAGCCAACCCTTGCAGAGTCAGCACGTCAAGGGGACAGCATGTCTCTCAACGACAGTGCTCTGCCCCCTCTCCAGCTCCCTTCTGAAAACCCCAGCTCCCTCCTGCTCGTCTGATTTAACAGTTGTTGATCTGCCTTGGTCTCTGGCCATGCTTGGCTGTGCTCAGCCATGTGGTTCTGAGAAATGCACAGCGAAGATTAATTTGGCCACAGGCTAATTTGGGTATATTTTAGGTCAGGCAGAAGCACAAACCTCATTCTTCTTCCCCCCTCTGCAGATGCCTACACGAAGACAGAGGTGATCTACACCTGGACACTGGGGAAGGATAAATCCGTGGAAGTGGCAAAGGGTGGATCTCGCCTGAACCAGTATGACCTGCTGGGCCACGTCGTTGGGACAGAGATGGTTCGATCCAGCACAGGTACTTGTGGGACCATGGTGTGGTGCATGGGCTGAGCACATCCTGACATGAGATGGATCCATGGGCTTGGAATGCCATGACTGTACTTCCACAGCACTTCCCAAGCCGTGTGCTGTTGGAGAAACCGGCTGGTGACATCTATAGCAGTCACCAAGAGGCAGTAAAGAGTTTAGTTTTAAGCGGTTTCCACTGAAAGAGCCTTATCATCCACAGTCTTCAGGAAAGCTGATCTCAAGCATCTCAGTATGATCTGTTGTGTGGAAAATTTGCCCCGCATTGTCCAGCTGGCCCGTGGTACTGTGGGTTCATTTGTCTTGGATTCCTTTCCAGCCCCTCAGGAGAGCGCTGCGGGCAGGGCAGGCGAAAGCAACATAATGTCCAGTGTGATTTTCACTGCATCTGCTTGCACAAATATTAGCATAGCTAATAGAAGATTATCCCAAACAAATGTTTCCTCTGATTAATGACCAATATTAATCATCTTTCTCTCCCATCTGCTGCTCCTCCCTTCCCCTCTGAATCCAGGTACTTATAGCTTCTGTTATCTCATGTGTGTCTCTCATATTTCCTTTTTTTTCTTTTATTTTTTCTTCTGTATGCACCAGTAGTTCTCTCATTTGAGGATATTTCCTCTCTGGTGCACTTGATTTTAATAGTGTCTGTCTGTAACAACTCATTTCGCCTCCCTTGGGGAAATGTGGGGAGCCCAGGGAACTAAATGTCATAATATCTGGCCCATCTCTCTACTTAAGTTGTAGTAAAATGTACAGATGAATAACCTGAAGTGGTAAGAAAGCTGCTAAAGGCTCCTGTGTGTAATGATTTAGCAGAGCCATGCACACAACATGAAGGCACAGTAATCCAACAAAATATCCAAAGCTTTGAGAGGAGGAATAGGACATTGAGGGAAAATAGGGACAGCTGCTTCTTTGGTTCACAGGTCAGACCTTTTAACAACAGAATTTGTCCTGATTTTTGAGATGGTTTAAGTGTGGCAAGGTGGAATATTTTCAGGCTTGTAAAAGAAAACAATATCCTTTGTCCTAAAATCCTGCTGCAGCACTGGAGGGTGCCAGGGCATGCCAGCCAGGAACAGGATTCCATTGCAGAGCTTGGAAGTTTGTTCAGGACAGCCCTTTAGCGGCTCAGAGCTGGACGGGTGGGCAGCTGGAAGGCACGGGGGGCTCAGCATCTCTGACTGGCTGTCTCTGCAGGGGAGTATGTCGTCATGACCACGCACTTCCACCTCAAGAGGAAGATCGGCTACTTCGTGATCCAGACCTACCTGCCCTGCATTATGACTGTCATCCTGTCCCAGGTCTCCTTCTGGCTTAACAGGGAATCAGTTCCTGCCCGGACGGTTTTTGGTGAGTCTGGGAGCTCAGGGGCATCCTCTCATGTTGGGGGAGAAAGGCACCACAAATGAGGGGAAACAGACTTAAATCAGAGCTGGTCTTCTCCAGGCCTTGTCTGGCATCACTGAAGCTGCTGATGATTCCCCAGGATAGCTTTCAGTGTCTTCCCAGTGCCTCTGCTTTCCCCAAATCGCTGTGAAAATACTCCTGTCCCCATTTCTGCTAGAAGCCAAGCCATAAATGTTAACAGTAATCAAGGTATTGACCATCTAATTATATGCATTTGGCTGTGTCTGCTTCTCTGTACTGGCTTTTGAGTTGAGGAGATCATGGGTACATGGAGAGGCATTTGAAGCTCTACCTCTGAAATTGCTGATGTGCCCCTGGTCAAAGCTCCACATAACGAGTTCCTGGGCTGAGGCAGCATAACTGCACGGTGAATATAGTGTTATTATTTCCTTCAGCTGGTTTCAGATCCTCTCTCCAAGGCGAAGTGTCAGGCTGGCATGGCACATATATTAATAGCTTTTACAAACATTTAATAACAGAAGTGCTTTGTGCTTCCCTGTCGAGACCTTTAGCTCGGGATCTGCGCAGAGCAGGTTGTGGTGCTGCAGGACTGTATTTCTTGGAAGTAACACTGCCCAGCAGATTCCACTTAACAGAGAGTATATTGGACAGAAGTCCCCAAGCAGAGAGGGGTTTATATGGTACCACCTGCTTGTGTTTTTTAATAAGACAGAAATCATTTCAAAGATCATGAAGCATTTTCTCTGTGGCAAGAGTTGTGATGGAAGGACTCCCACAAGCCCAGCCAGGCTGATGTCCTCCTCTTTGGAGCCTCTCCACTGGACCTTGTTCCTGTGCTGTGGACTGGAACAGGATGCAGGGAGGATCACAGATAGTTCTGCACCCTCCTAAATGAACTAGAAGGGATTTATTATGTTTTTTTGTGTTCACTGGGGATTGTGAAATGTAGGTCGTGAACAAGCTTTAATATTTACAGGTGACTCCAGCTTCACCCCATTAGCACAGAGTTGCCTTCCCTTGCCCACTAAGGCAAATCCCACAGAGATTCCCAGGGTGGAGGGCAAACCTAGGTTAGTATGGCCAGACTGGTTTGCAAGATCCAGACTGCAAGAGCTTCACTGAACAGTAGTAATGGTGAAGAAGAGGGGGCACGGCCCCTCAGCAAATGTTTTCTGCTGTTTCCATCCAACAGGGTGGAAAAGGGGGAGCTCAGACAGAAATCATGTAGAAAATAGGACCAGCTCAGGCATATAGAGAGTCATTGAGGAAATTTCCTCACTCATCCCTCTGTGAATCCTTTGCAGCTGAACCCCACACCTGGACCCTGTGTCTGCCCAAGTCCCAGGAGGGCTCTTACATCAGCATCTGGAGTATCTGAGCACTCAGGACACCGGGGGCTTGATTCTCTCCTGTGTTATCCTGAGAATTGCAGGGAAATAGGTTTCCTCAAGCAGCAGCTCAGATTGAGCAGCAAAGAGCTGACTGAAAAATTAAAACCTACCTTTGTGAAAAATGTCTTCGCTCCCAAATTGCCTTGCTTTCCTATTAAGAAAATAATGAGAACTCCAATTGTTTTTTCTTTTTTTTTTCCCTCAGAAAGTATTGTCAACAATATTGAATTGAAACTCTTAAATTACCAGGAGTATGGCTTAAGGGAGCTGAAAATTAGTCAATACTTTTATAACATTTTTAATGCATTTTTAATTGAAAAGCACATTATTGGGGAAAATGGATAGCAATGGTTGCTTGCTTTAATGAAAAAAGCTTTAAAAGGCATTTTGCAACAGATCATCTTTTAATAAGTGTCACCCATTGTGACATTTATTCTGGCAGCTTGGGCCACAGCCTGGCTGAGCTGGTGGGACCCAGGATCCCAGCTGTCCATCCATGCAGGTCACAAGACACCATTTCCAAAATGTTGAGAGAGCCACACTGGATGAGTGGCCAGTTTCTGATCCTCCATGAGGTTCCCAACCATCTAGATATAATAACAGTATTTTATTGTTTTGATTTTATTGTAAAAGCAACTAGAGGCTTCTCCGTGGCATTCTGTACATGAGGGAGCTGGCTCTAGGATCATGCAGCTTACCCTGCCAGCAGGCAAGGAATTGAGTGCAGGTGCCTACCTGTGAGCTAGGACTCCTCTATGGTGAGCAGAGATCTTGCCAGTGGAGTTTGGGAAAGGTTAACCTCATCCTATTGAAATGTTTGCCATTGATTATGCCAAAAACCGAAACAGAGACAGCCTTGAGAAACCTGCAGTTGGCTCTGATTTGAGCAGGGTTTGGACTAACTGTTGCCCAGAGAAGCTGTGGCTGCCCCATCCCTGAAGTGTTCAAGGCCAGGCTGGATGGAGCTTTGAGCAGCATGGTCTAGTGGAAGGTGTCCCTGCCCATGGCAAGGGGGTTGTAACTAGGCGATCTTTACGGTCCCTTCCAAACCAAACCATTCTGTAATTCTGTGAAACTTCCTGCCAGCCTGGACTGGTTTGTTACTCCACGAATTGCACCACAGACCTGTGCTGGGTAAGACTCCCTCAACTGCAGCGGGAATGTGGCTCCCATGGCTTGGCAGGAGGCTCCTCATTTTACTGATGTATCAAACCAGCACGAGAGCTGAGAGAAACTGAGATGAGTGTCTGGTCTCACAGCGTCCTCTGTGTCCTGCTGTGCTTCCACAGGTGTCACCACCGTGCTCACCATGACCACACTAAGCATCAGCGCAAGAAACTCGTTACCCAAAGTGGCGTACGCGACGGCCATGGACTGGTTCATAGCCGTCTGTTATGCCTTTGTGTTTTCTGCGCTGATCGAATTCGCCACCGTCAACTACTTCACCAAGCGCAGCTGGGCCTGGGATGGCAAGAAGGTGCTGGAGGCCCAAGAGATGAAGGTCAGCCTGTGGCCAAGGCCAGGGGTGGGGAGGGGGCGGTGAAGAAGCGCTGCAGGAGGGGGCTGTGCCGGGCACAGCAGTGGGTAACGTGCAGCCCCGCAGCACTCGGGGGGCTGGATGCTACTCACTGCCCTTCCCAGCCCAGGTCCCAGCTGGAGCGGTTCTTGAGGGTCGGGCGAGGGGGGGCTTGGGGGGCTTAGCTGTGTTTAGCTGGAGAGAAACCCCCAGGCATGGCTGCTTGCTTTTCTCCCTGTCCCCTGCACAGCCATTTGCCAGTGGAAACATGGATGTGTGCATGTTCTGGGCTTGCTCTGCTGGTGGTCTTGTCTCTCTTTCCTTCCCCCTCTAGCCCCAAACCAAACCCAACCCAACCCTCCAAGCCCATTCTTTGTTGCTAGCATGCCACACAAACCCCAGTATGCCACAGGACAGCAGCCCCACCGGTGGGGACAGTCCTTATCCGCTGTGTCCCCTGGCTGTCCCCACCCTGGCTGGTGCAGCAGTGGGCAGGTCTGATGCTTGTGCTGTTGCCCACAGCTGCCAGCAGCTGCTGCCTCGTGAGCTCGGGCAAAGAGGGTGGGTGGGAAGCAAGCAATCACAAACAGCAACTGGCAGCAAATTAGTGCCTGGCATCACCCACGTTTTCCCTCCTCGCTGGGGATCAGCCTCTCTGGCAGCTTCCTTCCCGACAGCCACTGCTACCCCTGCTCGTGCCCCCTCCCTCTGAGCTGATTTAATCTTGGCTGTGCAGAGAAATCGCTTACTGTAGCATGCTGCTCCTTGCTTATATTTATTGAATCAATTTGAAAATCAGCTTTGTCCTTGTTCTTGGTTCTGGAGCCTTTATGTTTTTTCTCCTTCGCATTTTGATGTGTTGCTTGAAATCGTCGTGGGGCTGTATGTAAATACCTGACAGAACTGCAGTAACTTTCTGGAAGACAGCAGCCAGTCATCTCTCTGGTGTGGAGGTCAAAGAAGGTGAACAGAAGCCTTATAGAGAGCCATCACTGGGTGTTGAATGCCTCTCTCTTGTCTTTCTTGGATTCTCTATCTGTTTGCTTTTGCAGCTGTGGTCTGAGCAACAGACCCATGGCAGAAAGCCTCCAGAGGAGGCCAGGTGATGGTCTTCCACTTCCATCATGAACAGTAATGCTAACCTGGGCTCTAGAGAAGAGAGAAGCCTTTCCTGAGTCACTGGCATGAGTGAAGAGTCAGAACAGGTCCTCAAAGCAACTGTATCCCTTTCAGGGATGGGCAAACAAGCACAAAATTAGGATTCAAACAGCCTTGGGCAATTATGTGAACTGGGCTCAGCAGAAAAAGCAGTAAAGGCTCAAAAGTTCAGTTTGTCTGAAAAGAAGCGTGTTTATCAATTTATTCATTGACCCAGCACTGCAAGACTAACAGTGCTGAAACAATAGGGTAAGAGAATGCAGAATGTTTGTGCACATGGTAATCAAATGAGAAAACAAAGCAGGACCAGGAATGCTTCAGAGGGGGTGCTCTTTGTGAGCTTGCTGCAATTGGCATCAGCCTGGATGATCAGTAAGGACTCCAGAGTTGTGGATGCTTTTTCAAGCTAACTCTAATCTCTGCTGTTGAAGGCAAACCCACTCCCAGTCTCTGCAGCTCACAGAGCTCCCCAAACAGTGATGGGCTTTCAGGGAGCTTAGGAATATGATGTGTCAACCTATTTGTTTTTCATCTTTATTCCAGTATTTCCAAGCAGTGAATTTGCTACGCAATGGAGGTGCCTCGTTGGCTCAGTTTCAGCCTTTAATTAGCTCTTCTTGAAACAATTGACAAGCCAGGTGGTTGAAGGCACAAAAGAAAGAGGAGGCAGAAGAATAACTATTGGCATTTTAAAGTGTTTGCATCAGGAGTAAAACTACCAGTGACAAGCCCAGGCTGGTCTCTGGAGATCCTTCTCCCCAGCCAAAAGCAATGCTCTTTATTGATGTGATGGCAAGGATCCTCACTCCAGGTTTGATTGTTCCCTTGCACAAACATGAAAAAAAAACAACCAAAACAACATAGGCAGCAGTGAGGCTTCCCATCCCATTTGAGAGAAATCACTACTGTGCAAAAGGTGCTGGTTGCTGACAGACACTCCCAGTGTGCTCATTCTCCCTGGGCTGGGTTCATTCTTTCTTTCTCCCCTTCAGCCAAACCACTGGTTTAGGTGGGGACACCATGTTTTTTTGCAGGTATAATCTGACATGGTGGGCTAATATTGGTGAATCACTGCTCTCTGCATCATAAAATCATGATGATGTTCTGGCTTTAGCCACAGTTGGGTTCTGGTTTTAGCTGGGAGTGACTCTGCATGTTCTCTGCAGTTCTCCTCTAATAAAAGGCAGGCAGATATCACTATAGATGTCACCAAAAGCTCTCTTTAGCATGCACTCTGATAAGATTTGCCTAATGTTTCTTGGACCCAAAGATTTTCCAAGCCTTTCTTGCCTGCCACCAGTACTTGCTAATTGTAGATGAAGGATCTATTTTCTTTTGTGTGGTAAACTGGCTGCAACCAACCTAGAGGTGCAGATTAAACTGGAGAGAGGCATCTGGATCCAATGTGGAAAACTTGTCAGTAAAGATGATTTTTTAAAAAACATCATGAGGAGGAAAGTGTGAGATGGCAGTAATGGGAGGAGATGAGTGAGGGGACAAAGAAATTGTGAAAGGTGAGTGGTTTCAGTGGCCAGCAAAGCTCCCTATCTTGGGCATTCTCAAAATATCTTGTTAAAGGGATCCACTTCAGGACAGAAGGGCTGTGTCTGAACAGAGTGAGATCCATCCCTCCCATCCATCATCCCTTCCATAGGGGTGACCATCTCTGGAGCCAACAAGGTCACTTCTTGGGTGGCAGTGAGGATTCAAAGAGACAGCAATTAATGATGACTTTGTCACTGGGAAGCTGCAAGGATGACATGTACCAGTGAGTTTACCACAAAAAAGGTGTTGTCTGTTCCTCAGGATGGAAGGTGCTTTGGATCTTTGGAAGATGATTCCTTTAACCCACTTTTGCCTGCTATGCCACTTCTGTGCATCAAATCTGATCTAGCTCTGTATCTGTGCTTGTCTGACATTGCCCTGAAATTCTGGGTGGCAAAAAGCAACAAAAACATACAAGTAGCTTCAGTCAGACACATGGAAACAAGGAAGAACACACTTTGGATGGAGGAATAATCCTGGATCTTAGTCCTTATCTTAAGACAATAATTCTTTAGTGCATGGTGAGGTTACATCCAGGCTTTTTATGTACTTCTCACATGTCTTTTCACTAAGAGAAAGCCACCAAAAGCATCCTCCAAACCTCTCTATTGATGGTCATCATGATTTTCTTTTTTTTGCATTTTGGAAGTGATGGGCATGATCCTCATCTGCATGAGGTGCCTTTTCTACTGACTGAGTAAAGCCTTGCTTTTTGTCCAACCCAGTCTTCAGCAATTCTCAGGTTTGTCCCTTGATCCAGGTCCCTTGGGAATCATTCTTCTTTCTCCTCTGTTTCTTTACATTTGTGGCATCTTTGTTACGACCCTCTCCTTGCCAGCAGAATGGAACTGGAACCAACCTTGACAGGCCACCATTTTCAGCCAGTTTGAAGTCTTTCAGACCCATCTCTTATTTTTTCTGCCTCACTGTGGTAAATATGTTTTTGCTGGGACTTTCCCTTGCTGGCCGTGCTCTGCAGTCTGTGTGTCCTTTGTTCTGCTGCACTTACAATCACCTCCATGATTTCCATCATGATCTCAGAGGTCTTTTCCAACCTAATTTGTCGTGTGATAGCACTGCAAGTGATTTATGTTCTCAGCACCTTCACTACAGTCCATGAATCAATCTTCAACAGCATTTCATCCTCTTACTCTCAACACTGTGTGGCATGTTGGGCTGATTATTAACTCTATCCAACCTCTGAGTCTTTCTCTGGTGATCCAGGGAGCACAAGATCATTGGACTCAGTCCCATGTAATCTAAATGAAGATATGGGAGGGATGAGGGATGCCAAAAGTTGCACCAGCAGCTGACAGTAACCTGGCATTGGCCTGCTGGTTCGTGCAAGGCTGTGTTTTTCAGAGCCTTTGACTCTGCTCAGGGTCCAGGGCTCTTGGTGTAAAACACTTGGCTGCTGTTCCACGGTAGGAGCAAGTCTCTGCAGGGCAGAACTTTGGCTGGAGTGAGGAAGGAGTGACATGTTTGCTGGAACAGCAACTGCACTTGCTGGGCTTTGAATTATGGGATACAAGTATGTCAGAGACTAGAGCTGCTTTGAGGTCATTAAAGTGACTTTTCTGTAGAATGACAAGTGGCAGCCACTTGGATTTCTCAAGTTCTGCAGATATTGGTGACCTTCAGAATTCAGATGGACAGTGCTTCCAACCCAGATTTCTAGCCAAGGAGCAGGTACAGAGAATGGAATCTCATGCAGACCATAGGCAGAACCAGTTGTTTCCATAATTTAGGGGTTCAGTCATTAGTTCCTCAATAGAGAGGCTTGAAGACAAGAATATTCAGCAAAAGTACTATTATTTTCCAGCATGTGTGTTGTTGAAGAACTGTCAGACTGCAATATCCAGGGAGCAGATTTCTCTCTAGACCCCTTTCACAGCTCTTTCCTAAGGAGAGCAGCACAGGGATATCTCTGTGCAGCAGTTCAGTCTCCCTGTGCCTAAACTGGGCCATAAATACAGGAGTTGCTTTGGAAACTAGATGTTTTAAATGGGACAAGTTTTCAAAGCAAATGTGGAGTTTCCTTCTGTTTATCCACTCTTGTTCCTGTTTCAGTAACTCCTCACAGATGAAAGGTGCAGGGTGGAGGCTGGAGGCTACTTTGCAGCTGACAGCAACAAGCACGTTTTGCTTTGTTTGATTGTCAAAATCTTGCCTGAAACATTTATTTATGAAGCACAGCCCAGCAAACAGCCTGAACCATTTCTTCTGACATCTCAGGAGCAGAACACAGCCAGAGCACACGTGTGCCTTGGTGTAGGCAGTGTGTGTTCTGGGTGCTTCCAGCTCTGACCAGGGCAGAAGACTCCATAGGTGGTTGGGAAAAGGCCCTGGCTATAACTCACCTGAACAGCCTGATCTGAGGTCCAGAAAAGCCCAAATGGATGCTTAGGGGCTCTGGATCACACTAATAGGAGCAGTAGCACACTGTCACCACCCACAGTGTTCAGATTTGCCTGACTTCACTGTTTCATCCAGCTGTTTTCAGGTGCCTTTAGCCAGGCACGATGGATCCACTCTAGGGCAGAAAAGCTGACCAGGTTGAAAATGTCATGTCACTTGGATTCATCCTATTCCTCTAATGAATAACATGGCTGATTAATACTAAGATAATCACAGTGCACTTCCAATTACATTCTGCAAACAACAATCTGTTTTTCATTTCATTACTGATTATTAATTATTTTATTACCTCCTCTAGCTGTGTTAATAAGTAATCATACTTAAGCATATTTTAATGTTTTAGAAGGTGAAACATCTTTAGCCCTTCATATGCTTCTTGTCAGCTCTTTAGCAGGAAAAGTTCACCCACTGTGCAGGGGGTACATGTCCACGTGTCTCTAATGACTGAGAATCAGTCACTCAGTTAATTGTTAAAGATCACAACAACCTCCCCCATAAAAGACCATGAATATGGTCCGATCAGTGGTTTGGTCTGATCTGGAGCTTGAAGATATTTAGACCTTCTCCTAACAGCAACTTAATTTCTGTAATTGCTGGCATTACTACAAGGCTGCAGGCCTGCTGTGGTGTTATTGGAGAGAGGTTTAAAGATTGCACAGGAGTCTGCTTTTAGTGTCTCTCTGAAAATCACCGTGGAAAATTCATTTCCGAAGGTAACCAGAAATATCCATGGTGATTGTAGTCACATTTAAAATGGAAGTGCAGCACTGAAAGCTAAAGTCCTGGGAGTATCTCTGCAGAGCAGGCTGGGTGAATCTGGCCTTTCCAGCTCCCAGTGCTACCCATGATGGTGCCTGCCACCAGTTCCCAGGCCCTGGTGGGGAGCTGGACAGGTCCTGCTGGCTGCACATGCTGCCCTTCTCCTGACGTGCTCCCCTCGTAGGTACCTTGCCAAGCAGCCCTGGAAAATGCCTGGATGAGCCCTACCTTGTGTTTCAGTTGCTTTGGAATAGAAAATGAGATCCAAAGGCACACCCTGTTCTGAGTTCAGATATCAGTCCCCCCACGAGTTGTTGCTGTGTCTGGTGCTGGCTCTGGGTGTCATTGCAGTGGACACCCATGGAGTGCCAGGATGAGGAGGGTGCCTGGTGCCTGAATGTGAATACATTTCGTTCAGTGGCCTTCTCCTTGTAGACCTGGATTGCTTTACACATTATGGCCTGCAGTGCAGCTGGTCTCAGGTCCTTGACAGCAACAGGAAGACCCCCAGAGTGGGGGCAACACCTATCATGACTTCCTAGGTCCGTCCTCCTGTCCCTTCATCCTCATTAACATCTGAGCTGTCTCCAGCACTTTCCATCATCCTTCAGTACATCACCTCTGACACATAAGGGCCTCTCTTGCCGTTTGCTCTGCAAGTTTTCCTCCCTGCAGCATGGACAGCACAGTTTTTGGGAGGGGTGCACTCACCTTCTGTGATTTGTAGCAACCCTTAGGTATGAAGGCAAGATGAGAGGCTTCCCTCTGCCCTGTAGCACTGTGTCGAGCATTCCCGAAATCCAGGGCTTGTGCAAATGCCTTCCATCTGTTCTGTATCTTACCTGGGTAAGCCAGGAGGTGCTCTAAAGAGTTCCAGGAGCATTTTGAGCACCATGGTGTTAAATTGTGAGGTGTTCCTGTGAGGAACTCAGGGCACTGAGGCAGTGTATGAAATGGTGCAAAAATATTGCAGTGCTGTCATCCACATTCTTAAAGCCAGTGGCTGTCTGACACCAAAAAAAAATTAAAAAATCAACCTGTAATCCTCTGTGCTGTCTCCTGCTCTCACCTGACCCAGGAATCAGGTCAGCCAAGCAGAAAACCCAGTTCTTCCCCCAGGATGACCATGCAGGGTGTCATTCTTTTTTCTAAAGAGTACGTTCCTGCATCGCCTCTCCACGGCTGAACCTTACATGCAGCAAAAGCCACAGGTGAGACAGAAAACAAGGAGTCTGCTCAGTTTGAGCCTGCATTCCTTTACACTGACCTTGCAGCTCTCAGCCAGGCTTGGAGTCACCTGACTGGGGCAGCTACTGCTCAGGTGCAGCAGCACACACCTTGTTACACCACTCCTCTGATCCCAGGGGCTGCTGAGACACGAGCCCAGTTACGTGGCTTCAGTTCTTTGACTTCCAGCAGGACCTGGGTGCCAGGCCAGGACCCCTCTGTGTTACATGCTGTATGCCAGGCTTACATGGACTAGCTGGTCCACCCTAGGCCAGCACATTCTTTTGCTCCAGCACCCCTCAAGCACCGGTGGTTATGGGTTCTGGCCATCTTCTCACCTCATCTTCCTTCCCTTCCACAATGCTGCCTTGGTCTCTTGCTCCTCACACCTTTTCCCACCTTCTCACCCGGACAAGCAGGTAAACTCAGAGGACAAAATGTTCTCCATGCAATTTCCAGTCACTTTATCTCTATCATGTTGTGTCTTTTTTGTTTTTTTTTTTCCCTTCCACCTTCCCTAGAAAAAAGAGCCGGTGGCACTAGCGAAGAAAACCAACAACACCTACAACATTGTTGGCACCACCTATGCCCTCAACATTGCCAAGGACCCCGGCCTGCCCACCATCTCCAAGAGTGCTGCTGCCACTGCTACTGCCACCAACGTGCCCCCGAAGATGCCCCGCCTGGAGGAGAAGCTCCTGGAGAGTAAGAAGACGTACAACAGCGTCAGCAAGGTAGACAAGATGTCCCGCATCGTCTTTCCAGTCCTCTTTGCCATTTTCAACTTAGTCTACTGGGCCACGTATGTAAACCGGGAGTCAGCTATCAAAGGGATGATCCCCAAACAATAAAACCAGTCACACAAACCTTCCATCAGTGAGCATCATCCAAGCAGGAATTCTCCAGGGCTTTCTTCTTTTCTCGTTTTGTTTAATTATTATTGTTCATTTGGTATTATTATTATTATTATTATTATTATTATTATTATTCCTATTAGATCACTCTTTTATAATGTCAACAAAACTGTGATTTTAATTTAATCTCTATATACTTTAGTTTCGTTTACTTTGCCTCTGATGATGGGAGTTTAAAAAAAAAAACAAACAACAAAGGGATCATAACAAGTTGTGCCTCTAACATCGTAAGTCTGCTGTCCCCCAAGTCACCCTGTGCTTCCATCTCTCCTCTGCCACCTCCTGTGGTCTCCACAGTCTTCATGCCACTGCCATTCCACATTTCACTGCTGTCCCCAGGGGCTGCTGCTCTGGGCCATCCCCCCCTCCTCTCCTGCCATGGACTGCCCTAGCATGGGGGATGCTCCTGGTGGCCTGGGCTCCAGGATGTGCCATCACTTGGCTGGGCTCCTTTCAGGGCCTGGCACTTTGTGTGAGGTGACACACCTGGGCTGGGAATGCAGGTGAGCTGGTCACCTGTGGGACCAGGGGAGCCCTGGGACAGGAGGGAGAGGTGTGGCATGGGCCAGCTTGTAGCCCAGTGCCTGCTGGGGGCAAACCTAGCACTGCTGTGCTCCCTGGAGCCATTGCAGGGGTGGAACAGGGTGGCAGCATCTTGTAGGTGGTGGACAGGACTTCTTGCTCTCTGTCTTCACCAAACCCAGCTGCTGGTTTCCTCCAAGTCTCTCTCCAGACAGGAACAGGTGAGAAAGGTCCTGTCTGTCTGCCATCCTGCACTCCTGGGGCAATTCAGCTTAGCAGGTGGTGTGGTTCTTGCCAGAGAAATAATTTTTCTCAGGGTCAGTCAGGGAATCAAGAGAGGAGCTTTACAAAGCCTTTGAGGTGATAGTAGCTGTGAGGCTGCATGAGTTCAGCATCAGGACTGGAAACCAGAGAGTTCACATTCAGGTGGGTGGTTTATCGCTTTCTCTTGGCCCCATCCACCTATCCTTCTTGGCACCTCCTCTCTGTCCCAGCCCCTTCTTCCAGCTTCCCATTCATCTTCCTTTGGCTGTTCAGAGTCCTTGGTAGTATCTCACTGCTCACACATGGATTTAGGCAGAGAAGCCCCTGCCTCTCAGGTAAGCCACACTGATGGGGAGGAGCACAGCCCAGGGCAGTGGGATCATGGTGCATCCCTGCTCCAGTGCACCAGTGGCAGCGATGCTGGGTCACATCTGCCACGTGCAGGGTCCCTGTGGGACCCACCCCAGGCCATCCTGCAGCCTGTGGGGATGAGACAGGGGGCAGGTGATCCCCGGGAGTCTCCCTGCCCCTGTGAACTGGTGCACCTGAGGATCCTCGTCACCATGGGAGAACAGCAGAAGGGGCTCTTGGAGACAGCATGGTGGTCCTGCTGTCCTGCAGAGCCACGTGAGCCAGGTGCCATCCCACAAAGCCACTGAGGTAAGACCCAACTCCAACACCTGCACACTCCTCCAGGGAAAGCCCTCCAGCACCTCGGAGAGGGGCTTTTTCTCCCTTCCTGACCACCACAGTAAAGGTCTAAAACCAGTGGTTGTCCCTTTCCCAGAAGCAGCACAAGATGGTGGCATCCAAGCCATCTGTCCCTGCTCCCTGGTGCCTGGACCCATGGACACACTGTCCTGCTACAAGGAAGGACATCCTGTGCCTGGTGGTGTATCGTCCCCAGCCCGTGGGCAGCACTCATCCTGCCAGCAGTCCTGCTCCTGCAGTGGGATTCACCCCTTCTCTCTTTGGACTTCCCTCTGCCCCTCCAGTTGCCCCCCCAGAGCTGCTCCCAACACATTTTGGGCACATGCAGCCAGGCCAAAGCCCCAACACCCCCAAGGTGATGCCTGCAGCTCTGCTTTGAGCCGCTGTGCCGGGCTCAGCTTCCCTCCTGTCTGTGCAGGAGCTGGGCTGAGCACAAGGCACAGGATTTGCCCCACCTGGAATATCCATGGAGGCGGCAGGATGGAGTGAGGAAGGCCAGGGCACTTTGTCCTGCAGTGTGAGTGGCATTGGTGCGTGTCCTGCCTGTCCTTTACCAATCTCACTGGCTCAGCAGCAGTGCAGTCACTCCCCCTGCCCACAGCTGCAATTTGGAGAGGAGTTCGGAGACATTTAGCCCAGCCCCCGGTGTGGTGGGTCCACAAGCACCTCCACAGGCTAATGCTGAGGAAACCAGCTCTCTCCCTGTCCTCCCTCACAGCATCCACACCCCAAACCATGACATTTCCACAGTGCCTTTCATCCCCAAAGGCTGCCCGCTGGGTGGGAAGCCCCAGGAACTCTCCCCATTTGCACACAGCATCAGAGAGGAAGAGAGGGAGGGTGCACTGTCCCCAGCCCTTCTGCCAGGCAGGGAGGGCATCCTGGCTTTGGCACCTGGTTCCTCTTGGCGTGGGCCTCCTGCACAGCTGCAGCCACCCCGCTGCCACAGCCCTGGCCTTACCCTCTCACCCACCCCCTTGTGCTCCCTCCACACCAGCAGTGTCCCCTCTGCCACTGCTGCCACCCTTCTGCTCCCCAGGCTCCCCAGCAGGAAGGCCATGCTGGCCCTGGTGCAGAGGTGGCCTCCTCTGCTAGCCTGGGCATTCCCAAAAATCCCTTCTACCCCAAGAGCCACATCCTACCACGTGTTGCCTCGCTGTCTGTTGGTGCCTGCTTTGTAGAGGTCTCCATAAATTGTCAGGTCTCACCATCAGCTTCTCAGCAGCCCAAGCACCCACAGCACTGCCTTTGCTGCCTGCCCAGGGCCATGTGGGCTCAGTGCCATGGGGTGATGCTCAGGGTGTCAGGGCTGGGTCTCTTTGCAGTGCTGGACACAGAACTGGGGCAGCCCCTGAGCCTCCTCCCTTCCTGTGGGTGATCTGATCTGTCTCACTGAACTGTCAGGGTGATTCTCCTGCCTGTCTCTTCCCTCCCTGCAATGCTGAGACTCTTGTCCCTCCCCAGGACACTGCCTGCCCATCTGGCTTACCCGTGACACCCGTCTGCTGGCTCATCTTTGCTCTTCCTGACTCCCAAAACTTTGCTCTCTGCCTGATAAAAGGCCGCCTTCCTGTGTCTGTGTGAGCACGCCTTGAAAGCCAAGCCTATTCCCAACCAAAGCCTGGCATGGGCTCCAAGTCTTTCTGCCAGCTGGAAGCAGAAACACCGGCATCCTTTGGTTAAAGACAACAAACCAAACAGGATTTCTAGTTTGGCTTCCAAGCAGGAAAGCATTTTGGGAAGATAGTTATAAATAAGTGGTTTAACATCTCCTGCCAGCAGACATCACAGAGGAGATAATGTTCTTTTTTTATAAAACTGTCAGCAACTCAAATTGGGACGTTTCCTTCCCAGTTAACACGAGGCTGTTGATGGGGGCTTCTTCTAAGTGCTTGCCAGGCCAGAGCCAATCTAGCATCACTTACTGGAGTTTACTGCTTGCTGTGATAGCATCTAAGGGCTCCATTTTTATAATTGATCCTGTGTAGAAATATATGTGTATATGACCACTGATAGTCTAATCCACAGTTGTGCACAGTGGGCACATCATTTTGCTGCGAACCTCAATGCTCCAGTATTTCTTTTCTTCTGGCAAGACCCAAAGCTCCCCTGACTTGATGAGAGTCTCCCAGGCAGGAATTAGAAGTCTTTGAGGGTCATAAAAATGATCTGTTCAGTCTGGGCTCCTGTTTTGCAGCTTGCACCACCTGGGAAACACACAGTGCAGTCCAAGCCTGCAGTTGCATTCCTGCTGGAAATGTCAGAGGGACATTTTGGCACTGGCAGCTCTTCCCTCCTCTGAAGCTGCCCATGGGCACAGCAGTGTGGATGTGAGGAACTCAGAGCTCCAGGGAGGTGGGGGCAGTTCCTCTGGGGTGCCCTCGATGGGGAAGAGTTGCTGCCAGCTCCATGTTATGTTAGCATGGAGAACATTCCTGCAGGGTGACATGAGAGGGCTGGGGAAAAGGTGGTCCCTCAGTGCCACCCACCCTTCTAAGGGGCTGATGAAGTTACCCACACAGAACACCTCAGAAGCTTCTGGAACATCACTCAGCAGAACCACGGCACTCAAGACAGAGCTTGCTGGTTCTCCTCTGTGCACTGAGCTCAGCATAAGCAGAACTGGCCTTGCCACTCCCAGGGTTTTACAGACAAGTGCTGTGGCCAACACAGTCACTCTGTCCTGATCCCTGCCAGCTCAGTGGCACTGTCAGGGTCCTGTGTGACACCCCCTGTGCAAGCAGACCCCAAGTCTGCTGTTTCCAGACAGCAGCCATGCATGTGAACAGCCTGTTCCTGCAAACCCATCCTATGGGCACGAGGTGCATCCATCCCTCACCTGCAGCCTTGATGTCTCCTGTCCATATCTTGGATCCCTTTCAGCCATCTCTTGGGAAGGATTACAGGGCTGCATCACACACCAGGAAGGGATTTCCCCTGTTGCAGATCACCTCACACGGGGAGACCCTCTGTCCAGCTAAGAACATCTCAGGCCTCGAAAAACCTGGCGCTGTTGCCTCTTGCAGAGGAGAGAAGAGAGTTCTACAGCAGAGGGTGCTCTCCCAACAGGCTCACGTGGGGAAGGGTTTGTCAGGGATGTGCTAGGGCCCCCCTTCCATATTCTTGGTCCTGGGGTTGGTGGAGAGCTGGCGTGGGGCCGTGGGGCTGGGTTGTCACAGCATGCAGTGTCAGACCAGCCCCTCTTCCCCAGATTGTGTCTCCCTGGGGCCACACTTTAACCCACCCCACCAGATATCTGTGTGGATCTTGCAGACTGGAGAGAAACAACATTTCCATGAGTCCTGTTGGGGGTGGGGAGGGCTTAACCAGGGCGAAGAGCTCATTCATGGAAACATGAATGCTCTATTAATATCAAAGTAGAGAGAAAAAAAATCCAAACAATTCACCAATCCTCTTTCTACATCAAGCTAAACTACTTCTGAAGGTCTTTTTGGCAAGAAGCCACAGCACAGATGAGATTGATGGCTTCCAGGTATAAATATTTACTGTTTGACCTTGTTATTGTTCCATCAGCCAAAGGTTTTTACATATATATGAGCGTGTGTATATTTATGCTCACATACTCTTTATATATAAACATCAAACCTCCTTGTCTTTGAAAGATAAAATGGCCACTTTCAATTATTTTACTTCCCTCTCATTCCCTTTGCCTAATCTTCTAGAATGAGGTGCATCCCTCTCTGCTGGTCCTCAGGTGGCTTTGGGAGGCACAGGGAACAAAGGGAGCAAGGGAGAAGAGCCTCTCCCTGCTCTGGGGGCTCGGTGCAGGCTTGCTGCCTGGACCAAGGGCACTGCTGGCAGTGCTGCCCAGCATCTTTATGGAAAACTTAGTCCCTGAGGTCACAGCTGCTCCAACACAGGCCTTGTCCTGCCCTGGGCACCAGGATGTTCCCAAGATGGCTTTTCAACAGCTGAATGCTCCAAGCAATTGGTCCTCCTCCCATAGCAGCATCAGGGAATGTGCAGCCAAGCATTGTGAACACATGTGAGGTGTCCACCCTCAGCCTGCTTCAGGAGGGAGCACAAAACCTGGTGGGATCCACTCCAGCTGTCCCCGGCCAGAGGAACACCAAAGGTAGGGGCTGTGCTTCACCTTGATCTCTTCTGCACAGCACAGGGCAGTGCTGGCACTTGGCCACTGCTTGCTGCTCATCCAGGTGGGATGGGCTGATACCTGACCATGTGCTGATGGTGGGAGGGGTCAGCAGAAGCACAGACTTTTGCTTCTGCTGTGTCCTGGGCCTGTACTCGATCTCAGCACGAGCAGAGCCATGGGCAGGTTCTGGGCAGCCCCTGAGTGGTGAGCGAGCAGGTACCCACTGTCTGCTCCTTCAGTGTCACCCCTGCCTCACCCCCTGGCTTAGAGAAACACTCAGGCAGTGATGCTGCAGTTGCACTCGTGGCTCCTCTGTCCCCTCCCCTGCTGCTGGAGAGAGGCTGTTGTGGTCAGCCTGTGCCTTGTGGTGTCCCAGCCGGGGTAATGAAGGATGGATCTGCCCCAGCTGGTTCTCGCTCTGGGTCTATGCCTGCCTCCCATCACTGGAATCTGTGCTGCTTTAACCAGCAGAGAGCCTTAGGCTTGGATTAGTCCCAGTGCTGGACCTGTCATCCTTCACCACCAACCAGCATTTATGTTGTTTTTCGCTCGTGAAGCTTTAGGACAAAACATGATGTTCTAGCTACTCTGTCCTATTCCCACTGTCCCAGTGCAGATCTCTTCTGCACAAAACTTTAACAATCCCATCTGCCTAGAGAGGGAAGCCTGGTCCCAGGTTTGCTGCGTGAGCCAGGATGCTCCCACAGTCTTTGAAGGCTCTTGGCTCTTCTCTTCAGTGCTGCTTGAAGGACCTGTCAGCTTGATGAGACCATTGGCTCGTGTTACACTGCTAGCAGCACTCTGTTTCCCCTGAAAAGTCTGTCTATACCTCCTGTCTTTTTGTAGGGCACCCAGCAAATGTAACAGGAATCATACATTGAATCATTTGATTTTTGCAACCACAAAAAGGAGGGGCAGAGTTGGGAAACCTGAGTCGCTGCCACACTGCCTTTGCCAGGCTGCATTTAGGGTTGAAGGGTTCCTCTCCTCTGTCACGAGGGAGTTTCTCAGCCCACCAAACCTGGTCAGGTGGCCCCAAGTATCCCTTCATCAACTAGATTATCACTGTCAACTGACTTGGGGATAGCTGCAGGCAAATGTCCTGCCTGAAGGTGAGGCCACCAGCTGCTCCTTTAGCTGCAGCCCTGGTGCCCAGGGTTTGGAAAGTGGCATTGGCATCATGCTGGGGCAGCCCATCCCGGGAAGGAGCAAATCACCAGAGAACATGCCCATCTCCACTGCCTCAGGTTCAGTCTGAGCCCCAGTACGTCCTCTACTTTGTTTTCCATCTCGTGAGACTCTCTTTACTCCACTATGAGATAGGATCTAGCTGGCAGCAGTTTAATGCATGACAATCCTGTTACTACATCTGTAAATAATTAACAACTAGGAAAAAAAAAAGGCATTTTTAAAATTTTTTGTTGACTTTATTTTCATTATTGACTAACTGGTAGCCACTTTCTTAAGGGATTTCTCATGGAAACTGTGACCTTTCTTCTCTCTATTTCTCTCTCTTTCCTTCTGAGGTTTGTGTTTCAGATGCTTTTTGGTGCAATGTTCAATGCCTGTTTGTATTTTTGAATCGTATTTTTCAACCTTTGCTGGAAAAAAAAAATAAAATTGCCCATTCTAATTGGCAGGATTTTGAGTCCTGCCATTTTTTTCAGCTTTTAGCTTTTTCACTAAGTTAA